CTATTTTTGAGTTCCCTAAATGCATAAACTTCCCTTTTTATGCTGGCACACAAAATGAGAAAGAATAAACAGTGCTGACCCCCAAATATTGGACTGCAAATGGTGCTGAGGAGCCCAGGGAGGCACCGGCTGGGAAGGGACCCTGGAGATGCCCTGGTCCAGCCCCTCTGCCAAAGCAGCTGCACAGCATCACACCCAGGTGGGGTTTGACTTTTTCCAAGGGATATTAAAGTAAAAAAAAAAAAAAAAAATCCCCTCTCCAAGCAGAAATTCAAAATTTCAGTCTAAGCCACATGACAGTGAGAAGGAAAAGAAACTCATAATAATTTTTAAAAAACTCAACCCTCAAATGGTTTTTCAACACACATCTTATTTTCACCTTGTCTGTAAGCACTGTCAGATCCAGGATCCGGCTTTACATAATTTCTCAGTTTTAAGCACCTAAGTGCTATTGTTACCTGCACCATCAATATGAGTGTGATTTTATTTTGGTGGCAATTAGTCTTGAAATATCACTGAGCAACTAATGTTTCCTGAATGAGAAGAGAAAAATACTAAAAAAATATTGTTCTTGTCTATAAGAAAGTCAAGAAATCTCCTATCTGAATCATGTATTTTCCTGAGTGTATACATATCAGTAAAACAAATTCTTGAATGGCCATCACCCCATCAGCCTTATTTCCCTTACACAATTGCTAGAAAAGGTTGGCAATAAAAAAAAAATCAGAAAGTGCAATAATATTTTGTTTTTAGAGGGTTGCAACAAGTTCACAAATAATTTTTGTAAGTAAGAAAAATTAGGTTGCAATTCCGTATTTGTGTTAGCGTTTAGCTACAATATTCAGTAAGGCCTGGCAATATTAATAAATATCTGTTTGCAAGCAGAAGGAAAGCTCTGTGTTGGCAGATGTTTCACAGACTGCAGATGTTGGCCATCAGCACCCCAGGCTCCCTGTGACTGAAGGGGACAATAAAGCCCTGCCCTGCCGCTGAACCCCACAGAGAATCACCCACGTCAGTTTAATGGATTAATTCCAATGGGACAAGAATGGGACATGGTTTGAGATCCCCTCCAAGGGAGGGTGGCTGCTTTGGCTGCCTCTGTGTGGAATGAGAGCACAGAAAAGGACAGGGATGAGAAAAGGGCAGGGATGAGAGGTCCAAGCAGCTCCTGTGTGGGACACTGAGGCTGATCTGGTGCTAAGAAAGTCAAAGTTTGTGTCACGTCACTTCCCACCTCAGCTCAAGCATATACACATTTAAATAGAAACCAAATAATTTCATTATTGTAGTGAGTTTGCAGGGACATGCAGCATTCTATCGTGTTTCTCTCTACACTGAACCCCACAGGGGCAGCACCAAAAACAAACAGACCATTACACACCAAACAGACCAACAAACAACATTAAAAACAACAAAGGTTGTTGGCCTCATCCACTGTTACACTTTTGATTTTCACTTTTGTATCCCTGCTTACCACAGGATTATCAACAAAGACTTCATTACTATGACTTTCTGATACACATTTAACTACAAATCAGGTCTCAGTCTATAATTCTAAGTACCCGCCCAGATTTATTTCTACATAAAACACATCTTCCACTCTTGATCTTGACAGAGATATGAGTTACTTGATCCAGGCTCAGGAATAACCAGCTGCAAACATGAAATACGATGCTTGAAGTGTGATGAAGAACTGTGATTTCCATCTTCCATGGGTCATGGAATTGACAAACTGTATCAGAAAAAGGGGATATCTCCTATTGAGAGGCATCACAAGGATGATCTAGAGCAGCCAGATGAAACTCTCCCCATCAGAGGCAAGGCCGGCGTGGTGTGAGCCTGAGCAGGAATCTATTTTGTCAGACTACAGAGCTATGAACTGACAGCTACCAAGAGATTATCACATTATCCTAGAAGGGATGCACCAGCTGCTTCTGATAGGTAAATACAGGAAAAGGTAAGAGAAATGGAACAGCAACACCAATCTAATTTCCCCCAAACTGCAGAGGATTAGAGGAAGAAAATATTAGCACTCAGGATCAGCTCACAGAAGAAAATGCTCAGTTCCTGCTGCAACTTCTAGTGTACACGGTATACCTAGCTGACAAGAAATGCTAAGCAATCAATTAATAAAAAGATTATTTAAAACATTGTGTGAGTCCTTTTCTACTCAAAACCTGTTCTGAACCAGCTTGCCTTTTTAGCGTTTAAGAGCACAAAGAAACGCTTCACACTACAATCTCTGCAGTCAAAGCAGAGGCCTGTGACACCCACAAATATCAAGTGTTTAATCAGGTAACACTAAACACCAGCTTGCCTTGAGATGTGGGTGTGCTGAGCAGTGCAACCACAGCAGCAGGCAGGAATTTATGGCACCGTGGGGCACAATGCACATTTCTGTCACTCTGTAAACAATGGCACTGCCCTGAAGGGGGAACAAAGCCCTGGGGCTGGGCTGCCCCTGGGATCAAGCACAACATCAGGGTTTGTAGCTTCATCCCCAATCAGAAATCACTGTTTATTAAGGTTTCAATGCACAATTTGCTCCTGCATCCCACTGTTTTCACAAACTACTTCTATTTATGAACGCCCAGCTCCTTTTTTCCTATCATTTCCCATTTATACTTAAAGTTGTTATCTCAGCTGAGACAAAAATGGTTGGGTTTCCACCTGGCCATTTATTTCTTGTCTTAGCTGCACCTCCCAGCTCCCACCATCAGTTTTACACCACCCTCTTCCCCAACCCAGCTATTTCTCATTCTAAATGAATTTTCTTCTATTGTTAAATAATATCTAAGTTCTCCCTCCTCCCCTGGTTCACAGCAAACACTGTTTATCATGTGAAACCTTAATGTCACTCCCTCTATGGTCACCTTGGGGCATCTCAGCAGAGAAACACAATCTTTTATAATGCCATGCACAGCAGCTTTGGGAACAGCAAGAAGCTCTGCGTGACTGTCTCCTCTTTTCTATTAACAGTAAAACTGCTGCCTTTTCAGAGTTCATGTGTTTCAAACAGGGCTGAGAAAATCAGAGCCACAGACAGTTCTGGGGATGAGCTGCCATGAATCTGTTACTCATACAGAAGTTATTTTCTATTCAGGTACACCTTGATAAAATGCAGGCAGGCAAAAAAAATGAGTGTTAATCAGCGTGGTAATTAAAGCTCTGTCTTGTTTTAAATAAATCAAATCCTGCTTTACAAAGCTTCCACTGAATCCAAAATGCAAGGATATATTTCTTTACAAAGTTTTGTTTTCTACAGTTTTAAGGGGTTTTAATGAGAGGCATAATACTATTAAAAAAAAAAAAAAAAAAAGAAAATATGTCATTTAGTTTAAAGACTTTATCATTTCTTACCTAGTTTGCAAAAGAAACCAAATGCAAAAATTACATTCAACCGTTTCCACACCCCATGAGAGGGGCAGTAAGCTAAGTGTAAAAAAGTGAGGAAATACTGTAACACATGAATGTTCCCTTCCCAAGGAGCTACAGAGCTGCTGAAAATGTGTTAAATACCTACAAACGGGTCAGCTGAGTTCCTAGTGAGAAGTTCCTTCTTTTTTTAGAATTTTTTATGGACAAAGTCTCTATTTATCTGTTTTTGGGCAAAATAGGCCTGGCTTCACACAGGAAATGAGAAAATCTTGGCTAAATTTGTTTCAAAAGCCAACGACAACTACAAATCTTTCTCTTCATTCCACATTTTGTCCATTTTTGATTCCTTTCTGTCCAAAATACAGAGCAATACAACATTTCACTCTGTTGCTGCACCTACACTAAAGCATCAGATTTTCTGCTTCTATGAACGGATTTCTATATTTTAAGTACCTTGGCTGTGCTGATAGCAGACAGACATGTGTGGCATCTTTTTTTTAAAATTTATTTATTTTTTGGATAGCTAGCCAGAAATGCCCAGTGGGATGCACTTTCCTGAAAGGGATTTTTATCTCTTTGTCACTCCTTAGCACCCACACTGCCACAATTACTTCAGGTTCCAAGCAATTTGAAAGAGCTAAAAAAAGGCAGAGCTTTATTTTTATTAAATTGCTAGTAAGTACTGCTATCAGTGAATATCAGCTATGCAGTCAGTCAAGCAATATATTGGATAATGTAATCTATGTTCTTCTGGCACTGACGAGGGTCAGATTGGCTGCTGAGCAGCCAAACCACAAAATAGTTCCCTATTCCAAAGCAAAGGAAGTGAGGGCAATTTCAGCTTCCCCCAACATTTCAGGGTGAATTTCTTTCCTGTTCTTAAGTTTGTTTTGGTAAACTCAAACAAAAGTGACCATTTATTTAGCAATCACACACTCGTGTTTATATAAACATCACATGTTTAGGTTATTCTTCTGTCCCCCAGTCCCCTGTTAGTTGCTGGAAAGAATAAAAGAAGCAAGAACATGAAATATCTGCTCTTACAAGGCCACTGGCACTGCCCTCCTTGCACTCTGTATGTTTGGAGCTGCTCCTGCCCAGACACGACAAAGCTGCTCTGACAGACAGACTCCTTCCCTCTGGACAGGTGAGCATCACATCAGCTCTGGGCCAAGTTCTGCTGCTCAAGTCCACCAATTGTGCAAGAGAGACACAAATAAAGAATGTCTCCATAAAAATGGGAGGCATAAACTCAGCACAAAACCCTTCTGCTCTTGGCACGCCACGGCAGTGGCGATGAGGACATGTTTTTAATAGTCCAGGAAAACTGTCAGCCAAAGTGTACAAACACCGCGAGCGCTGCTGCAGAGCTCGTGGATGTTTCCTCACACTGTTACACATGCACATAAACAGCTTCCCACAGAGTGAGGCTGAGATGCACCAGAACAAACTCAGGATTCACACTCTGACACAGACCTGCACTGCTCCACAACTGCAGCTCACAGCTTTGGGCTCCTGTCACTGCGTGCAGCTCACAGCTCTGGGGCTCTGACGGGTTGGCAACACTCGTGGGAGGACAGTAACACACACAGCAACAGAGAGGGACGAAACAAACCCACCTTGAGCAGCTCATAGTGCTGGATCCCGTTCACCCCGATGTCCGGGTCGATGGCAGACGGGACGGAGTAGCGGGAATTGATGGCCGTGTTCTCCGGGATGGAGATGTTAATGACCGTCGAGGGGAAAAGGGGGGCGTTGTCATTTATATCCTCGATCAGGAACCTGATCTTGACCAGCCTGAACACCTCGTCAGGCAGCACGGCCACCTCCACCTCGTAGTAGCAGCGGTTCTCGCTGACGACGCCGGCGCACAGCTTCTCGCGGTCGATGCGGTTGGCGGCCGTGAAGATCTCGCCCGTGTTCTCCTCCACCCTCACCAGGGGCACGTCCCCGGTCTTGTACACCAGCTTGAACTGCAGCGGGGAGGACAGGGGCACGTCGGGGTCCAGCGTTAGGTTGAGATCCTTGAGCAGGTTGCCAATGAGCACATTCTCGGGCAGCTCTTCCCGCACGGTGTAATTCTTCTCCTGCGCGCCAGATTGGAACACGATGCAGGCCAACAGGACTGCCAGGAGGTAGGTTCCAGACAGCAAGTCCATCTCCAGAATGGCTAATGAGGGTCCGTGGAGAACGCCAGGAGGAGCTGGGAAAAGGGAAAGGCAAATCCTTTAAAAGTCACCAAATATTGTTGCTCTAGGACACAAAATAAAACAATGCAGACACTGGACTTTCTAAGGTAAAAAAAGAGTTCTGACTCTAAAATCTATAGATTTCTAAGGTAAATCCTTTAAAAGTCACAGAACATTGTTGCTCTAGGACATGACATAAAACAGTATGGACGCTGGACTTCCTAAGGTAAAAAAAGAGTTCTGACTCTAAAATTTATAGACTTCTAAAAGTGACAGTGGATTGGAGGATGACAGTGCCACCTCTCCAATGACACTGGACAAACCAACAGTTTATCAAATTTCTCTTTTTCTATAAAAGAATGCAAAACAATGAGTTATTTACATAAATTGCATGAGGAAATTTGTAACAAGAACGCAAACATCAGAAAAACTTGAAAAAACGGAGTGACAGAAAATTGTGTTCCTAAAGTTGTAAGAGCTAAAGGAGCTCCTTTCCTGCTCCAACAATGTGAACCTTTCAAAACCTCATTAAAGTCCACAGCTGACTCCATCCTTCCTAAATATGTATAAAATTCTTGCAAAACTCTTAACTAAATACTGAGGTAAGAATTTTAGGGCTGGATAACATCAAATGAAGAAATAAGTACAGGAATCCCCTATTTCCAGCATGAGATTTTCCTTTGCTCCTTCGGAAAATGTCTTCCTTTGATCTCTCTGCCACATTGTCCTCATTTTTTTTAGTGTTTCCTAAGAAAAAAGTAGGCAAGAAGTTTGCAAGCAACCATCTGCTGAGAACCAGATCTTTTTATACCTCTTGTTCAGATATGGGAATAGAAGAACACTTGTCTTAATTCTCCCCCCAAGTTTTGCACTGACAAAATTATGTAATGTTTGTTAACAACAACAAAGAAATCTGGATATTTTTAATTCAGGAACTTAAACTGGCAAGAAAATGTTATTATCTAAATGGAGTCTGGTGAACTTGAGCCAACAATGTGTGGAAATCTGTCTAGGGAATTGCAAAAAAATTTGTATAATTTTAAATTTGGTGATGTCTGTTCACAGTACTCAGGAAGAACAGCAATACCTTTAAAGGGAGGTACAAAGTTGTTTGAAAAATCTGTACTTTCCAAGCTGGTTTCTGAATAACAATATATTCTTGCCTTGAGGTTAACAACCTTGAGAAAGATGGAAATGGAATAAGAGGACTTGCAGGTGCACACAGATATCTGTGGAGCTGCACTCAGCCTTCAGCCAAGAATTTTTAAGAGATAAATCACTCTCTTGAACTCCAGGTATAGAATATTTGCCTAATCTTTACATAATTCTGCCATTCCAGAATTTAGGATCTGCTAGGATAGCATTTCTCTAAGGTAAATGCTCAAGAGTTCCATGTAAAGTGATTTTTCTCGTAAATGAAATCTCAGGTTAGCATCTGTTTCAAATATACCTGTGCCAACACATCTACATTCTTGTTACTGTGCAGGTAAAGTGTAATTCTGTTCCCTGTCTCCTCTCATTTCATTCTCCCTGTCATAGCACAGATTGATTTACTTCTGCAGATCAAGTTGCAGTGGCTGAAGAAATTCCTGGCGCCAGTAATTGCCTCCACCTGTTAGCACTGCCTTTCAGCAGAGCCGCTTGCAAGGGAATTTAAACTAAAGCTGTGAGTTTGCAGTGAAACAGGTAAGGAACAATTAATATTGCTATTCCATTTAGTACAGGCTTGGAAGGCAGTGATGGATACAGAACATCCCATCTCCACCTGCAAGGTGCATCCTCACATGAGCACCATTAACTGGACAGCATTTTCTGGCTTCAGGATTATACAAAAGCAGCAAATATCATTTTTATGATCAGACATGAAATAAAAATGCTGCAAGTCCCCCCCTTAGGGAAAAAGGCTTTGCTCCCTGAGTGAATCAATGAAGCTGGAGGGGATGGCTGACCAGGGCATGGCATTTCAGGAATTCCCTGATTTACCACTGGACTTCAGGGGTTCTCAACACCCAAAGCAGCACCAGCCGGGTGCCCAGAGTGAGCAATGGACCAACAGCTTTTTATAAACCATTACAACTTCACATTCTAAATATACAAACAAGGAAGTCCCCAGCAGCTCCTGATCATCATTATGGCAACACCACGGCAGCAGTGTGAGCCCAGTGAACGACTTGGTGAAAGTCTACAAGTGGATTAGTCTGTCTGTTATAATTTGATTTAATAACTTGGATTTATTAATTGATTATTAATTGATTTATAAGCTTATTCTATACTATAAATATATAAGGTATAATATATATTTTATAATATATTATACATATTATGAACATCTATTATAGATACAAAATAATATAAATATATTTACAACATATTATTTGATTTATTAATGGCATATCTTTTAATGCAGCTCCAGCAATTGTCATCCCTCTGAAGAAACTGCCCATGTACATTCGACCTGTAGAGAGCCCTATTTCAGGAAAGCACATCTTTGCATCCATTATTACTAAAATAAAGATATTTACATTGTTTCCTATGGAAAGCCCAAATAAAATGTATGGGTTATAGTAAAAACTTGATATTTAAATGCTGCTCTAAACAAAAAAATAGAAAAATCAGAATGGCTGCATGTTCTGCGCATACTAGAAGGAACTATTTTGCCACTTCTTCCTCTCTATTACAAATTAAAATGAAAAATAACACAACAGGGTTATAAAACCCTTCAAATCCTGATGTTTATAGAATAATATTTTAAATTTACATTTCCGAGGGGAGGAAATGAAAAAAACCCAACACCAACCATAAATATAAACCAAATTCTAGCTCCTATCCCAAATTCTTCTATGGCAATACTGATGCAAGTATTGCTTACAAATGATAATGATATTAAAATTTTGTATAAACAGGTATATAAATCTTCCAAATAAATACATTAAGGATTTTTTTTTTCAAAGCAATATGAGAATGTAAATGCAACAACCTAAAGAGTTCATCAACAATATTCCTGAATCAATTCTCAAACCTGAGATCATGCCAGGAGATACTTTATATTCAAACTAAATTATAAGCCTTTAACCCCAGTTTTATCTGCAGTGGAGTTTCCAGGGATTATAAAATGACAACAGCAGGACTCAAAGAGTTTTGTGAGGAAAACTGCAGGGTGGAACTTGGCATTACATTCTTATGCAAACTTTTACTCACTTTAAACCAAGTTTGAACCACTCTATTGAAATTCTTCTTGTGTCATAGTAAAGAAAATACTTCAAAGCATGAAAAAACAGCACAGCACACTTATAAACCGTGTTGGATAAATGCTAACATGAATTTTGTGGTTACTTCTTCTGTCACAGATTTTCCTGAGTGACTAAAGGGTACGGACATGTAATAGACAGTGTTAGTTTAGCAGGAAAAAAGCTCAGAAATAACAATGGTTTATAATGCTTGAACTTATTACAATGCACTATTTTTTTTTCTTTAAAAATAATTCTAGTAACAGTTTTGAACAGAATTTTGTTGTGACTTTTGCTGTCAGATTTTCCTGAGTAACTAAAGGGTACGGACATGTAATAGACAGTGTTAGTTTAGCAGGAAGGAACAACCAACAATGGTTTACAATGCCTGAACTTCTGTACAATACACTATTTTTTTAATTGCCTTTTTTTTTTTTTTTTTATTTTCAAAATAATTCTAGCAACAGTTTTGAAGCTCTATCCCAGAGCTGTAGGCCTTGAAGGAGAAAAAAACCCAACATGACACAAGTCTGCTGCTCGGATATAGAAGAGAATATCTTCAGCTGAGAGGAAAGTGCTGTTCTTCCAGAATCCTATTTATAAAGCCAGAGCTGTACGTTGCCTGTCACTGGTGCCACAGCTCTGATAGGGATTCTATGGCAACAGCAACGCTCAGAACAGAGCAGGAGCCACTTCCCAGGCATCTCTGGAACCACGGGGTTCCAGCCTGGAGCAAACACCAAGCACAGAAGGCTGAGCAGAGCAGCCCCAGCCTAAAGGACCTTGCACGGGTTCCAGCACTCACTCTCACTTTTATGGAGGTTAGGGAAAAAAAAAAAATAAATAAATAAAGAACAAATCAAATTGTTTAACAGAAGGTAACACGGAGCTTGCCAAGCCATTTTCCCAGCTTTCAAGAGAAGGCATTGCTGTCTGTGCTGCTGGCTTCCCAGCTAGGAAGGCAAATGGCCCAGATGGACAAGATGGAGGGGAGGAGGGGAAAAAGAAGTTTAAACTTGCTTTTCTTCATCTGGCTGTCTGTGCACTCAAATATACCTGCTTTTTTTGTCCAATACACCAAATATTAATGGTGTCACTTAAATATTAGCACTGTTCATTATCCTCTTCGTTTAGCAGCTGTCAAATCATACCTTGAAAAGTGGAGAGAATATAAAAGCTGTAACCACCTAATGGAGCAGGATGTGAAGGTAGAATCTAAATCTGTTCTTTATACACAAGGCTCCATCTGGTCCCACCTGAGCTTTTACCTTATTACAGAACTTGTTATTTCTTCCTTAAGACGATCTCAGAAAAGTTGTAAAGGGAGTAGAAGAGTTCAGGTGTTCACATTGGAAACACACCATCTCTTGATACTTGGATTCAGATTTGAATTAGAGTAGAACAAACACGCTGTGGTGATGTTTTGTAGCTGCCACATCAAGCTCAAAGAAAAAGGTATCATATTTTTAAAAATTAGGAATATTGAAGCCCAAATCTACATGAATATCCAATTATTAAAATCATAGTAGAGAAGAAATCCTAAAAATATCACTCCCATTCTTATTTTTATACTCCGGAACCTACTTTAATTACTTGGGACAAATTTACCCAGCACACCACACTTTTTCAATATCATATCCTTTTCATTTGCTGCTAATCCACCGTGGGCTCCTTAAACAGGAGCATTTAAATCCCTGTATTAAAACGGTGTTTCTCTGAGCGAGAGATCCCCATCCCACAGCTCCAGCTGCCACCCAACCCCACCATTATTGGGTATTCTCACTGAT